AGGGATCTGCCAGGGGAGGGCCATCGCGAGGAGGGAGAGCTCTGATATTCAGGTCCGGTTGGGCCAGAGGGGCGCAATTAGCAGAACCTGCTCCTCGTCCTCCCTGACCTTGCACAATAGGTGCGCGAGCAGGCTCACTGGGGGAAACGCATACTTGCGTGTGCCCTGAGGCCAGCTGTGGGCCAGTGCGTTCGTGCCAAGAGTGCCCTCGGTCAGGGAAAAGAACAACTGGCAATGAGCGTTCTCGGGAGAGGCAAACAGATTGATCTGGGCCTCCCCGAATCACACCCATATCAGCTGGACAGACTTGGGGTGGAGTCTTCATTCTCCAGAGTGAATTGCTGCCGTGAGAGCGCATCAGCTGCACGGTTTAGCATACCTGGGATGTGAATGGCGCGCAGCGATTTCAGCCGCGGGTGACTCCGGAGGAGCAGACGGCGGGCGAGCTGAGACATGCGACGAGAGCGCGTACCCCCCATGCGGTTAATATACGCTGCCGCCGCCGTACTGTCCATCCTGACCAGCACGTGTTGCTGCTCCAACAACGGAAAAAATCGGTGGAGAGCGAGGAACATTGCCAACAGCTCTAGGCGATTGATATGCCAATGCAGCTGGGCACCTTTCCACAGGCCCGCAGCTGCATGCCCGCGACACACGGCTCCCCAGCCCGTGTTGGAAGCGTCTATTGAAACAACAACATGACCGGACGCCTGTCCCGGAGGCACACCGGCCTGCAGGAACGAGGGGTCATTCCAGGGGCTGAGGGTGCGGCGACACAGCACAGTAACCGAAACTCGGTGTGTGCCCGCATGCCATGTGCGTCTTGGAACTCAATCCAGAAGCCAGTGCTGAAGTGGTCTCATATGGAGCAATCCGAGTGGCGTGACAGCCGCAGCGGATGCCATATGCCCCAGGAGGCTCTATAAGTATTTCAGTGGGACCACTATTTTGCTGTCGAGCTTCCTCAGACACTTCAACAACAGGCGAGAGCGATCTTCGGAGAGGCGCGCTACCATGGTGACCGAGTCCAGCTCCATCCCGAGAAAAGAGATCCTCTGCACCGGGGCGAGTTTGCTCTTTTCTCAGTTGACCTGCAACCCCAATAGGCGAAGATGCCGGAGCACCTCGTATCTATGCATAGCCACTTGCTCCCGCGAGTGGGCTAAAATCAGCCATTCGTTGAGATAATTGAGTATGCGGATACCCGCAAGCCAAAGGGGCGCTAAGGAACCTCCTTAGCTCGACCTTCGAACGCAACCGCAGAAACTGGCGGTGACGCGGAGCGGGTGTGCTGATCTGGGAAGCGCGAGGGTCCCGCGGAAGAGCTGGAGAGCGATTCGCTCTGGCGAATGGAGACATGAAAATACGCGTCCTTCAGGTCTATAGCTGCAAACCAATCCTGAGGACGAACGCATCGGAGGATGCGCTTCTGCGTAAGCATTCTGAACGGCAGCTTGTGAAGACAGCGGTTCAAAACGCGCAGATCTAGGATTGGCCATGACCCACCGCTCTTTTTGGGTACGATGAATTACGGGCTGTAGAACCCGCTCTCCATCTCGGCTGGAGTAACTGGCTCGATTGCATCCTTCGCCAGGAGGGCAGCAATCCCCTCTCGCATGACAGGGGCGGAGGGGGTTGATCCTGGTGAAATACACGCCCGTGAACTTGGGGGGCCGTTTCGCAAACTGAATCGCGTAGCCTAGTCCGATTATGCGTATGAGCCACCGCGAGGGGCTGGCCGGCGCTAACCAGGCTGGCCGAGCCCTCGCTAATGGCGTCATTGCAACAACCGCTGACGTACCAGAGGTGAGGCAGCACGAAGCGGGTGTGCTGATCCGGGAAGCGCGAGGGTCCCACGGAAGAGCTGGAGGAGAGCGATTTGCTCTGGCTCCGCACCCTGCCCTCGGAGAGGGGGCTTGAGGGCTGGGGGAGGAAACTGTCCCAGCGCTCGTGAGCCACTGGCGGAGCACACCGAACCTGCGAGCTAGAGAGCACAGTGTCTCAGACTAGCAGATTTCGGGGCTGTCACGTCCAGGGAAGTGGAAAAGTGCCCTTTCATAATGTTTTCATGGCAGTAAAAAGGGCCGTTGGAAATGGGGCCCCGCCCTCCAGCGGGGAAAGAGCAAGTTCCCTCTTCTCCAGATGATCTGTCCCAGGGACGCTTTGCGGTCCATTGCCGGACTTAGCGGCGTTCTGGGCAGGGGGCTGCCTGCTTCCGAGGTGCTTGATACGCCCGCTTCCCCAGAGGCGGGGGCGGTGCAGCTCTCGTAGGCGGGTGCCTTCGGCGAGGAGCAGATATGGATGGTACGGCGGGCAGAGCGGGCTTACGGTCCCGCCGAAGGTGACATCACCCATCAGACTGCTCTCTCACCTCCCTGAATTCCTGGGTGAATTCGCAGACGGTGTCGCCGACCAGCTTGGGATATGGGGAGTCAAGAAAGCGGACTTTGTCGACTTCATGCATATCAGCCAAGTTTTAGTCAGGGGTGGCGCTCCCGGACCACTAGTGTGGACATTGTCCTCCCCAACGCACACGCAGCGGACTTAGTAGTCCAAAGAGCTTAGTCGGCTGCAGTGCGAAGCTCATAAGCCTAGGTTGGACCCACCCTCCTTCAGCTCGGCCAGACGTGCTACGCTTGGTAGCACTGGTAGGTAGCTATTGCATGCAAGGCGGAAGCAGCCTGGCCCACAGCTTTGTAAGCTCTAGCTCCGAGGGAGCAGAAAACTTTGGATGGGAGACGAGGCGGACCCCGCCAAGAAGAGGCACCGCGTGGATTAACCGCCATTGCGCACTCAACCTGAGGAATCGCCACATACCCCCTGGCCGCTCCACCGTCAAGAGTGGTGAGGGTGGAGGGACACGCAGCACGAGCAGAAAAAACTGCCCTTCAAGTCCGCGTGAGCCTACTGTGCACCTTCGGGAAGAAGGGAACATCCCTCTAGTCGGTCCGGCTGGGGAGCTGGGGGATAAACCATCTCCAACCCACGGCCGAAGCAGCCCGGGAAAGCACAGCTAACATGTCCGTTTCAGGATCCGTTTTGACAGCGCTCACCTGCCCGAAGGGGGCGAGCGGGTCTGGATCATCATCGCACAATGAAAGCCCACCCTCCGATGCCGCGGTGGATGTCTTGTCTCTGGTGTCATTGAGCATAAGGGCTACCATTTGTTAGACGGATCGCTTCCCCCGCCAGAAGCTTAAATGGAGCGCTTGGAGGAGCGAGAGGTCCGCGGGCCCGTGGGCGACGAATTTTCTCTCGTTGAACCCTCAGATCTGCCCGAGTGCCCGCTGCAGAGCAGGGGACAACTGGGGTGGTTTGCCCTTTTGCAAAGGCTAACCACGATCTTTACTGCGCAACAGTCATGGCATCGCAAAGACGACATGAACTGCCTGCGAGCAGCGCATTAACATGCTGGAGCATGTAACGCAGTTCCCGTGCCCATCATCCGAGGACAGAAACCCACAGCATCCAGAAACGCACAGTCAGAAAGCCGTCCTGAAATGGACGTGCTGCACGACTTTTGCTCTCTTTTTAAAGTTGCACCTTTATACACACCGCTCTGGAGGAACGGTCCAAAGAATCGCAAGGGAGAAAACCCAGCTTGACTGTCTGCCGCTGCGTTGAACAATCTCTGGACCAGGAGAATGCTCTCGTTCGCTCGGTATCGCGGGATCACAGCTGGAGGAACCCTCATCGACTCGATCAGAAAGTCTCTAAAGCGAAAAGGATGGCGTTTGCTGGCAAGCTAACGCTGCCAATTCATTGTTTTCATTGGCCCGTTCAATACTCTTTCAGACAAGTAGTGTGCAAACCGAGTGCAATAGTTAGCACTAACAGTTACAACCAAACTATTACCTCATGTTGGATTTTGTGACCGGAATAACACACGCGGCTTTCTGACGCTACCTGCCGTGAGTATCTAAGTTTCTGGGAAATGCTGAGTTTTTTTTTCTCTCATTCGCCGTGCGGTATCAAACATTGCATGAAAAATACACGCTTAGAGCAGCGCCTCACGTTTGTCGGGAGGGACATTAATGAATACCCTGAATGAAAGAGCCAAATGAAAGTCACCCATTTAGTAATTTGCCAAATAATTTGACTAAAGATGTCCATGTAAACACAGTCACTTTGTCCCCTGTGTGTGTATTTTGACTCTAAAACTCGGCGCACCCAAATAGACACTCCCACACCATGCCACACCATGCCTCTTTTCTTCCTCCAACACTCCCCCCTAAACAAAGCTGGACAAGTCCACTTTTCTGACTTTTTCCAAAGTAGAGGTGTGAAAACACCCTGCTGAAACGAGGAGGTTTCATGGCCTTTTCAAAGAACTCTATGGTTCTCTGCTGCCTTCTTGTCCTGGCACTGGATAAGGTGTTAAATATGATGATGATGTCGGAAAAAATAACATATAATAAATAATAATTAAATAATTAAAATAATTAAATAATTAAAAAAATATATCAAATAAATATTTTTTTTACAAAATTAAATAGCGTATAATCTTGACACAGCGAGAAAGCACCCACCCACCTCTGTAATACACTGAACATGTTACTGTAGTAACATCATCATCATATTTAACACCTTATCCAGTGCCAGGACAAGAAGGCAGCAGAGAACCATAGAGTTATCCAAAAATTACACATTTCTAGTAATTACTGCAATTTGTAAGAAGTTCAATCTAAATAAAAATTATAATTAAAACACTGGTTTTGAATTGTGAATAGAAGGTGTACATGAAAGTGCAAACATGTATGGCTGATGTGTGAGAACCAGTCAGGTTTCCTTCTGTGTGTCAGAGAACTAAGTGGGTTTATGCATTTAAAAAGCATAAATTAAATCTGCTTGTAAAGCACTTAAACCAGTTCAGAGTTCAGATGGATTATTTGTTTGACAGTGACAGTTTTTTTTTTTAAATAAAATAACATAACTGCTATTTGCTAAATAAGCATAAACTAAGTACACACCCTCTCAGCAATTTTATATTTTACTACATACTGTAAATTAACTTGACTTTGTGGCCTGCCCTATGATGTCAGAATCACTCATCCATACTCATTATGGTTATAAAAGTTGTCATATTGTATTAAGTCAGGTGCATTTGGCTCCATTAAACAGAATTGTTTCAATGTCTGTCTTTCTATACACTGTGCTTATCTTTATATTTTATACAAAGGCAGAGAATCCTCTTTGTCAAATGATGGGAAATCCTAAATTTCCGCTGCTATCTAAGGATGGAGATGTAAATATCGGAGCAATTTTTTCAGTCCACAGCACAGAGATATTAACTTCATTTACATATACACAAAAACCCCAGCTTCTATCATGTTCAAGGTTTGTTAGTGTGCAAGCTATTTCAAATCTATACAGTAGAAATGAAATTAGTATAATGCACTATTGATATGTTTTAGAAATAATCACATGTAAAAGAATGCAAATAGTCTATGGAAATGTCTATTGATGTTTTGACACATTTTTACAGTGTGAGTTTAAGAGATTTTCGAATGGTTCAGACCATGATTTATGCCATTGAGGAGATTAATAGAAGTTTAGGTTTGTTACCAAATATTACAGTTGGCTACCAAATTTATGATGCATGTGGTTCCAGACTGTCTGCTATGAGTGCAACTATGGCATTGATGAATGGTCCAGAATTTACATGGAGAGACAGATGCACTGGGCAGTCTCCTATACATGCTATAATAGGAGAAACAGAGTCTTCTGCTACAGTGATTCTTTCCAGAACTACTGGACCTTTTAAAATTCCGGTGGTAAGCTAATAAGTATTTATGTTTTTATGTTGCTATATTTTTTATTTATTCATTTTTTTTCCTTACCAGATAAGTCCCTCAGCCACGTGTGAATGTCTCAGCAATAGGAAAGAATACCCCTCTTTCTTTCGAACTATTGCTAGTGATTACCACCAGAGCAGAGCACTTGCATACATAGTCAAGCATTTTGGGTGGTCTTGGGTGGGAGCTGTGAACACGGATAATGACTATGGAAACAATGGAATGACAACCTTTCTCAATACAGCTCAGGAGGAAGGAATTTGTGTGGAGTACTCTGTAAAATTTTACCGAACAGAACCAGAAAAACTCCAAAAAGTTGTTGAGACAATAAAGAAAGGAACCGCCAAAGTCATTGTTGCATTTCTTACCAGTTCTGAAATGTACAATCTACTTGAACAACTTAGTATTCAGAACATTACAGGTCTCCAAATGATTGGAGTCGAGGGATGGATAACTGCAAAGAGTTTAATTACGCCAAACAGTTTTCATGTGCTTGGAGGGTCGCTGGGATTTGCTGTGAGAAAAACTGCTATTGAAGGATTTGCAGATTATGTCATAAAATCATTCTGGGAAACAGCTTTTCCATGCACAATGACAATTGGGAATTCTTCCCAATATTCTTTAAGTTGTGGTATATATCAGGATCTACTGTTGCTAAAGAACTACAATGAAGATGTACCTGAACAAAGATATTCAACCAATGTCTACAAAGCAGTATATGCTGTAGCTCATTCACTACACAGTCTACTCAAATGCAAAGAAGACGGCTGTAAAAAAGGTCTTGCAATACAACCACAGCAGGTAAATGGATAGACAGATTTATATTACTAATAAGTCAATGAATACATAAGCAGTAAGGTGGAGAAGAGAACGAGGATATCCAGATAAAAAGTTTTAAGATGTTTATTCTTTAATAGGTTGTTGGGGCTCTGAAAAAGATTAATTTCACACTTAAACTGGGAGATATTGTGTCATTTGACAGCACTGGTGCCACAGTAGCCCAATATGAAGTTGTGAACTGGCAGAAGGATGCAAATGAATCAATTAAGTTTAAACCAATTGGGTACTATGATGCCTCACTGCCTCCTCACCAGCGATTTGTGCTTCACACTGAAAACATAATCTGGGCTGGAGGACAACTGGATGTAAATGACAGTAATATGTTTGCAATTTAATAAAAAAAAATCCAAATTATTTAAACTACCCAGATCTAAAGGCATAAAGGATACCAGATTAGAATAATGTGATACATTGAAAAATACACAAATCTGTAACTGTTATATACACAAGCTTTTAACTGGTGTCCAGGGACCCCGAACCTGCAATGGAGCACAGGGCATACTTGCAAGAAAAAAGTTTTAAATTACAATTCACTTTATGTATACTTAATTATTATATAACAATGCAAAGCATTGTTTAAAATATTTATTTGTTTGTTTTATGATTTTTCTCAAAAAATAAATCAACAAAAAACATCTTAAAGAGTAAAAGCCTATGCAAGCCTATGACCTATAACATGTACAGTATATGGTCAAAAGTAACCGTCGACCCCAGTACAGATAGAGTTTTTAAAAAAGGAAAGCACTGTTAACTGAATAGTTGCTTATTTGCATCATTTAAAGATTCTGAGATCAAAATCTATTTAAGCACTTTTTTTCTATGGAATTAGTATGAATAACTAAGAAAACAATGTATTTTTCTATGTAGAGGCCCAGGTCTGTGTGCAGCGAGAGCTGTCCTCCAGGCTCTAGGAAGGCTGCTCAGAAAGGGAGGCCTGTCTGCTGTTATGACTGTATCCCATGTGCAGAAGGAGAAATAAGTAATCAGACAGGTAATCTTCAGCATATCTCACAGATTCAAAGAAAATTGTTATTTTTAGTTTTTTTCTTTTATACGTTCCAGTTCTGGATGGAGTAGATTCCAAGCAGAGGAGTTAAATAAAATCCTTTTATCGCTAACAGTAACGATCATTACTTTTTTTCCAGATTCAAATAACTGCAAACAATGTCCAGGGGAATATTGGTCTAATGCTGAGAAAAATAAATGTGTTTTAAAGGATGTAGAATTTCTGTCTTTCACAGAAATTATGGGTATAGTTCTAGTCATCTTCTCACTGTTTGGTGCAGTATTAACTGCGCTAATGGCCATCCTGTTTTACCGTAAGAAAGACACTCCAATAATAAAGGCCAACAACTCAGAGCTGAGCTTCCTGTTGCTCTTCTCATTGATTCTATGTTTTCTGTGTTCTCTTACTTTCATTGGTCGCCCCACTGAGTGGTCCTGTATGTTGCGTCACACTGCATTTGGAATCACTTTTGTCCTGTGTATATCCTGTGTTCTGGGGAAAACAATAGTGGTGTTAATGGCCTTCAAAGCTGCACTTCCAGGAAATAATATCATGAAGTGGTTTGGTCCTGTACAACAACGACTAAGTGTATTTGCTTTGACACTTATACAGGTTCTTATATGTGTGCTGTGGCTAACAATGTCACCCCCATTTCCCCACAAAAATTTAAAATATTATCAAGAAAAGATTGTTCTTGAGTGCAATTTGGGTTCTAATATAGGTTTCTGGGCTGTGCTTGGTTATATTGGCCTACTTGCTGTCTTGTGTTTTATTCTTGCTTTTCTGGCTCGCAAACTGCCTGATAACTTCAATGAAGCCAAATTTATAACATTCAGTATGCTCATATTCTGTGCAGTATGGATCACATTTATTCCAGCTTATGTCAGTCCTCCTGGGAAATTTACTGTAGCTGTGGAGATATTTGCCATATTAGCCTCAAGTTTTGGTTTACTATTCTGCATTTTTGTACCTAAATGTTACATAATCCTGTGTAAACCTGAAAAAAACACAAAGCAACATCTGATGGGAAAGGTTTTGATGTAAACTATATTCAGAAATTAAAAAAGATAGTTATATCAACATTACAATGTTTTGTTTACATTAGTTTACGCAGATAATTTAAAAGCCTTGAAACATTTACAAATAAACTGAATTAAAGGGGACCTACGATGCAAAATCTTTTCGAAGCGGTCATATTGGAGTGATATAAACACAAGTCTCTTTTGTATTCCCTGATTTTAAAATAGGATTCAGATCCCAGTGATTTTGAAGCCCAATGTGATGTAGGAATGCGGCTTTCTGTGCCGACCAAATTTATTGACAGGTGTGTGTTAACATGTCTCCATAGCACTTTGTATAAACATGTCCACAGAACAGGATTAGCAAAGAAACTGGTATTAAAAGATCTGTTCCAGCTCTTTGTGATTAGCTGCACCTTCAGAATTAGTTTTATAATTTTAAAATATTTTTAATTTAAAAAAAGACAGTAATAAAAAATAAACTGTAAAATTGCTATGTAACTCATAACTGCTGGAATAGTAGTACTACATAATATCACTACAACTAATATACGAGTATGTTTCAATCATACAACATTCCCAGTCTGTGGATGTTAAATTAGGTTTATTTGTACAGTAGTATAATGGATAGCCATACAGCAGTGTATATTAACTTTTATCTTGTTGTTATGCAGAATGAAAAACCCCACCAAACACTAGATGCTGTGCTTACGTGCAGATCATGTATATTTTGCGTTGGTCTGTCCGAGACCATATCTGCACGGTTCGACATGCAAATCCGGTCGACACACTGATGCCATGAATTCAATGTTCAAACTGACCTATTTTGGACGTATACGGTTATTTAAAAAAAATTTAAATATTAGACGCATTATTGTGTTTGAGTGAAAGTCAGATTTACTTATTTAAGCCAGTGCAAGGTCTAGTGCAGAATACATTTCGTTGAGGCAAAAAAATATATAATTATATACAGTTGAAGTCAGAATTATTAGCCCCCCTGTAAATTTTTTCCCCATTTTGTTTTTAACGGAGATAAGATTTTTTCAACGCATTTCTAAACAATAGTTTTAATAAGTAATTTCTATTAAATGATTTATTTTATTTTTGCCATGATGACAGTAAATAATTTTTTACTAGATATTTTTCAAGACACTTCTATACAGCTTTAAGTGACATTTAAAGGCTAAACTAGATTAATTAAGTTAACTAGGCAGGTTAGGGTAATTAGGCAAGTTATTGTAAAACAATGGTTTGTTTTGTACACTAACGAGGAAAAAAAGCTAAAAGGGGCTAATAATTTTGACCTTAAAATGGATTTTGAAAAATTAAAAACTGCTTTTATTCTAGCCGAAATAAAACAAATAAGACTTTCTCCAGACGAAAAAATATTATCAGACATACCGTGAAAATTTCCTTGCTCTGTTAAACATCATTTGGGACATAAAAATAAAATTTCAAGTGGGGCTAATAATTCTGACTTCAACTATATATTTATATATATATATATATATATATATATATATATATATATATATATATATATATATATATATATATATATATATATAAAACGCGATAAACAGCATTCTTTGACTTTTGGATTTTGTTATTGGAAATCACTGTTCAGATGTACCTTAATCTATGTGTGAATTGCTGCCATTAATAACATTTAAGAAAGTACATTTTAGGCCTACTACATCTGCCAGACCAGTTTCTTTACAAAGTGCGATATAACAGTAATAGAATGTTCAGGATGCTGCACAAGCTCAGGATTCTCTGGGAGGAGAGTCGCCGCTGGTGAAGTGCTCCATGTTTGCTCATAGATTTAGCGATAGAAGATGAAGCCTTCAACTAAACGAAAACGTCCTTTCTAAACATTTATTTATGCGGTTGCACCTGTTATTTATAGCCTACAACCTCACATTAATTCTTGTTGTAAATTTTATATAAGGGAACATAAAGGGCACACGTTGTTTTGAAGAAAAATAAACGGTTCTGATTTTTCACAACAACCAATAAATGATCTATTATTATCATTATTATTACACTGAAATAATTCATCTAATGTGTTGGGGCGAGGCAAGCTTATGTGGCAGACACGGTGCAACAGAGATAAGAATTGTGACACTGCGGCCTGGCCCGTGCTGATCATACAGGTTTGGATTTCAGCAGCGGTGTGAAGGAGCCACCGTTCACTCTTTCTATAACAAGCTACAAGTCGTTTATCTAACTAACTTAATCTAACTTATCAAACAAAACATTGATTTACTAGCTTATTTTAATGGTATTACTGTAGTAGAATATAGCCTAGGTGGATATAGTGTTTTGCAAAAAAAAATAAAAAATTATGTTATGTTGTGTACATTCTGACCAAATCTAACTTAGAATCTCATTATTATTATTAATCTTTGTATATATTATTCCATATATTTATGATGTATAGTTTTTTCACCAATTAAAGATGTTTGACAATGTTAAGATAAATGTTGCATTTTGGCTTGGTTTTTAACTTATTTATGAACTATTTATGAACATAAAATTAAATAAAAAATATCCTGGGTTCAAAAATAATGTGTTTCTGGCCTTTACTGAGCTCAAGTAATAGTATAATTTACAAAAATTGTGATATAATAATAATATAAAAAAAAAAAAAAACATTTTTCAAAATGGATATATCTCGTTTTGCAACATATATATATATATATAATGCAATTTGTGTTTTTTGCAAACTCTTCATTGGAATGTATTAAAAAAAGTAAAAACTAAAATAAAGATCAAAATAGTCAAAGTATTAAAACGCTTACTCAGATTACAGCAGCAGCAGATCAAATGAAAAACTAACAAATATATTGCCAACCCCTAAAAGGTTTTTAGTTTACTAGCCAAACTTGCAGCTTATGCTTACTAATGCAGTGGATGCACTTCCAGCTGCAACCCATCTTTGGGAAAAGGGGTGATCTAAGCTTTGTCATCTAGATCTGACTCCATGTCATTGATTGAAGAAATAAACTACACACCTAACCATTTTTATATTTTAAAACAAATTAAACCTCCAAAAAAAAAGACGAAAATGACAATTGCTTAAATTACAAAAAAAAAAAAAAAACCTGATAAAAATAACTGAATCAAGTAAAAAAATAAAAAATTACACTATACTATTTATTATTAACTCTACACATATATAACCAACCTTGTATGTTGTTGCAAAAGAAAATGATTCACTGAATAAATATTCACATATTTTAAAGCATTATTCAAAACAATAGTCTGATTAAAAAAAATAAAAAAACAATTTTTGCAACACAACATTTTCCAACTTGCACACAATGCTGTCAAGATATTGCTGTTTGTAATTACAGATTGCACAGCCAAAGAAATCAGACAAATGAACATGACCTATTTTAATGGTGCTTATAGAAAATATAGAGAATAGATTTATAATATGTATTCATGACCACCATTTTAAACAAAACAATTGCTTACGGTAAACGGATTGTATTTACTATTCTGAATATAATAAATGGTGATGCACTGGCACAGTAGGTAGTACTGTTGCCTCACAGAAAGAGGGTGGCTGGTACGAACCTCGGCTGGGTCAGTTGGCGTTTCTGTGTGGAGTTTGCATGTTCTCCCTGCCGTGCTATGTTTTCCCCTACAGGTCAAAGACATGCAATACAGGTAAATTGGGTAAGCTAAAATGTCCGTAGTGAATGAGTGTGTGTGGATGTTTCCCAGAGCTGGGTTGCAGCTGGAAGAGCATCCGCTGCGTAAAGACATGCTGGATAAGTTGGCAGTTCATTCCGCTGTAGCGACCCAGGAATAATAAAGGGACTAAGCCGAAAAGAAAATGAATGAATGAATGAAAACAATAAATTGCTATCCAAATAGTTTTTAATGTAACAATTATAGTAATTATATGTATACCTTTTACAGTTTCTGTTTTCATAGTTTCAAAATAGAGTATTAAAATCTAAAAGATTTTAGCAAAACTTATATATTAATTGGGATTATTGTGCTCCATTCTCTGATGCTCTTCTCAAGATAAGAGCACATAGTCTCAAGTCCACATGTAACTGTTGAGGCATTAGACAGGAAAAACCTTAAACTTTAGCTTGGTTATTTGATGCCTTTTCTATGCCCCTTTCAAGTACAAATAAAAAGTCAAGACAAAAAAATTAAGAGATTCAATTAAAATCATCTTATTTACTCTAGATATAAATGCTGTTGTAGATATAGTTTTGACATGGTTACACCTCAATTGCACTCATCATGTCAATTGTTTTAAGACTTTTGTAGTAAAGATGTTGCCAGCTTTAATTTTACTTTAGTTGGCATCATAATTATTATATGTTACAGTCACATTCTAAAATGACTTGACATTAAATACTTACTGGAAATGGTGTTGTAACCTGCCATAATGATACATAAAATAAAAAAAAAATTATCTAATTACTGTACATTTTAAAATGTGAAATGACCTGACATGTGGCTAAGTATGCTGACCCATACCAATACATCATTTGTTCTCTGCATTTAACCCTTTCAAGTGCACACAGCAGTGAACATACTAACCACACACCTGGAGCAGGTGAAAAAAAATGTAAGTATAAATTTAACTGCATTAACCCAAAGTGACACTTACAGTAGTACTAAAATATTCTCAGCATATCAACTACAAAATCAGTGTGCAAAAAGAGAGCATTTGAAGAACATGATGCAAGTATACTTTTATATAATGTATTTTAATTCACTTTTTGGTTACTATTATTAAGTTAATCTTGAGTACTTTTTAAGATAAACTTAGGTCTGCCAAGTGTGCTCAAAATGTGCTGTGCCAGATGAAAAATTACTTTAAAGTGTATTAATATTGTTGTAATTTATTAGTGTTGATGTTGTTGTTAATTCTTTATGCAAAGTTGGCTATTTATTTGATTTTTTCGGATCTGATAAAAATTTCATTATTACCTCATAAACTGTTAATAGTATATGTATTTGATCACTTTTAAAGAATACATTGTTAAAGAATATCCTAGATTTCTTTTATATTTGTAATTGTGCGATTGAGTTCAAGTGTTTTTGAATGACACTTTTCACAAAAAACTGGAGCAAAGTAAAGCCACACGTAAAATTCTGTGTGATGCACA